TTGCTTCTGAGAAAATCCCTGATCCCGTACAAGTTACCTCTCTTTGGTTCCTTATCTCTTTCCCCTTTTATTCCTTGCAAAACTTTCTCAATTTGATCCTGTTCCAGCGTGAATTGTTCTCTCCCCTTTCTGGGTTTTCTTTGTACTCTTAAGAAAACCCCATAAAATCCCAATCTCACCTCCTCTTTCGTCTTAAACTTAGGGTTTTATTGGAGATTGTAGCAGGTGGATTTTCGTTGATTTTGCGTCTGTTGTGGAATTGCTTTGTGGGTTTGGCAGAATTAGGGTTTTGGAGAATTGGGTGTTCATCAAAAAGGCATCTTGTCGATTCTTCTACTATATGATCGAAAGGATTTGATTCTGAGGGGCTCTTATTCTTCCTTGGATGATGAGTTCGAATTCGACGATCTCGACTGATGAATTCGTTCCGGGGAGAAAACTTGTTGTTCATCTTGCCCAAAATGGGCACACTATGGAGTTTGAATGTGGAGGCTCAACTCCGGTTGATTCAATTCAGAGGAATATCGAATCTCTCTCTGGTGTGCCGTTTGCTGATCAGCTGTTAATGTGTGGTAAAGTTTATTTGGATCCTCAGCAGCCGTTGGCTTATTACAAGCTCCCTCAGGACAATCGTGAGGTTTTTGTTTATAACAAAGCTAGACTTCTCGAAAACTCCCCTCAACCGCCTCCCGAAAGTGTCGAAGTACCCAATGCAGTAGTCCCTCCTTTATCTTCCCGATGTAACAATCCTCGCCGTTTTGATGATGTATCTGATCCTGCTTTAGTGGCTTTAGGGTCTTATGAGAGGAAGTTTCGGTATCATTATAACTTTGCCGATGCATTTCACCGGTGCACAGCTGCAAAATATGAGCTTTGTAATAGGCTGTTGCGGGAGCAACTAGTGCAAGAAAGGGCATTGGAGACCGTTCGAGGCAACTTAGAGTTTGCTTTTAAGAAGCAGCAGCAGAGGTACTCGGAGTTCATTAGGTGTTTCACTGAGCAGCATAGGGTTCATGCTGAGATTTTGGCTAATCTCGGGAGGGATATGGATAGGCTGCGATCATTAAGTCTTCACCCTGCAGTTCAGTCAGAGCGTCGGAAGTGTTTATTGGATCTTGTGAAGGAGGATGAGCTAATAAAGTGGGCAGAGGTTTGCATTAATTCTCATAAGCAGTTTGAGAATAAGGTTTCACAACTAAAGATGAATTTCGGGGAGCTTAAGAAGAAGGTGGAGAGTGTGTTCTCGGTCATGAGCTCCGCGAGTAGCAAGGATTTGGAGGCTCTTATTAAGGATCATCAGAAGTTTCTTAATGAGCAAGAGCTTATAAAAATTACTTTGAGGTTAGTCAGCACTCTGTCTTCTGCATGTTTAGCTTTCAGAAATCTTGAATGTCTTAAAAGCATGCATTCTGTAACTGGTTTTTAGTATAGTGTGCTTCGGCGAATTTCTTAATGAGCAAGAGCTTATAAAAATTACTTTGAGGTTAGTCAGCACTCTGTCTTCTGCATGTTTAGCTTTCAGAAATCTTGAATGTCTTAAAAGCATGCATTATGTAACTGGTTATTAGTATAGTGTGCTTCCGCGAATCATTAATAAACTCCTATGTAGATAGAAGATGTGCATTTATTTAAGGGGGGAAAATTGCATGAGTGGCCATAGTGTATATGATTTACATTAGATAGATGATATTAATCTGTAGTAGTGTAGTGCGGATTATCGTTGCTGAATATTCCATGGATAAGACATTGAAAATGCATGATCTGGTGTTGCTTTGACCATTGCTGAGTCCATTCTTTCAAGAAAGTAGGTTTCCAAAAGCATTTGTCAATTCCTTAAGAGTTTTTCGTGCTTGTTTGGCTTGCCTTTTTCTAATTAAAAGAGAGTGTGCATTCAGTCACTTTTAGATTCCGATAGTGTTTGACCTTTGAGTGGTGTGTGTGTGTGGGGGGGGGGGGGGGGGTGTGGGGGGGGGGGGATTCTAAGTGTATTTGTGTTTTTTTTAATTGATAAGCTACTTACCAAAGGATTGACTGGTGTTAATCAAAGAGATTATGCTTGGGAGGGAGATTTATTTGTCTATGTCCGTAGGTGGGAGGGTGAAAGATCAGTAGTGTCCGCAGTTACATTTTTTATAATCATTGAATAAGTTCTTTTACCCAAACTGACCCCCAAAACCCAAAATAGGGGGGGGGGGGGGGAAAATATCAGCAAGGCTCTATTATGTCATTATTGGCTTATTGAAATATGATATAGGATTGTTGTTCTTACAAAACACAAATTTGTTCGGTTAGCATATCAGACTGTTGGAATATCAAAGAATTGCCCTCAAGCTCCTTGCATGCATAATTTTGGAGTTTGGAGTTTGGTGCAGTGATGGTGTCTTTTTAAGGAGGGCTAAGTTTCTTGTTATGATATACCTGATACTCCAAATGGAAGGCAGTACTGGTTCATTTAAGCAACAACAGGAATTGTGTTGGTGGGATTATAAGCTCAATAATTCTTCTAATGTCTAAACTTGTTGAGTTAAGCTCTTGGTTTAGCCTTTATCCATTCCGCACCTCTTGTTAAACCCAAGACATATTTCATAACTTGAGCTTTTAACTTTACCTATTATCCTCCCTCACCAAGCTCACAATACACATATACACACTGCACCATGGTGAAAGGTGATGATCTAAGCTTGTTGTCATAGATTTGTAGGGACCAATTCTTTCTGCCTTTCTCTTTGCAGAAGGCTACATGATGCAAATACTGTTACTTAAAAAATACATTATGCAAATACTGTAACCCTTTGGCTGCAAACTGATAGTCATTAGGAAATAAATAAAAAATTCTTATGGTTTTTATGTGTTCATAAAGGCTTCCTTTTATCTGAGGGGATCTTTCTTTAGAAACGATAGATTCTACTGTGATAATTAGTGATTAAAGTCCATTTTACAAATTAACTCACATGATTTTAGGTTTGCAAATAAGGATTTGAGTTAGTGAGTTATAAGAATATATCCAGTTCAATGGCAATGAATTTTTTTAAAACCTTTCAAACTGTGAAACTAATTTTCTTAATCTATTTGATATATGTATGTGTGTGTGTATATATATATATATATATATATATATATATATATATATTGGAAAAAAAACTTTATATGAGAATAAGGATGAGAATTAAAAATTCCTATAACATTATTATGTTTCTTTTATTATGTGGATTATAAATAGGAAAATTACTAGTTTTTAAACTATATATCCAAATGAAATTAGTTTTCCCCCAAAAAATAGTTTCCCCCCAAAAGGTTTTCTCTTGCAATTGGAAGATCTTATTATCTGCCCAATTCTGTTCTTTCCTTGTTTTCTCTCAGGATCCTCTTCTCCTTGCTTTTTGAGGGTTTTTGTAGAGTTAAAAGTTGATGTATTCAGTTATGTGAGACTATTTGGTGTTTTGGAATTTTAGTGGGAAAAACAAAGTTTAGGAGGAATTTGTGGGGAGCACTTCCAAGTTTCGGACGAATGTGTGAAATTTATGGTTAGTGTATTCCATCTAGATGTCAGCTTCTCTGACTTTGTGCAAACAAATGAAAATGGATATAGAAGCCCTGAAGGCAGAAAATAAGAAAGCCATTTCATTGACAAGCCAAGCTGAATGAATCCCCCAGGCCTATGGGTAGGGCTTAGGTTAATAAATCCTCCCCAAAAAAAGTTGAGGCAGCTTCTAGTCATCCCTCTCTCCCTCACTCTATGTGACTGGTTCTTTTGTTGAAGTGAACATATCTTTTTGCATAGGAACCTTTCTGCTTCATTAGTAATTGCGTGGTATGATAATATTAATTAGTGAGTTACACGGTAATGCTAAGTCTCATTGATTTGTTATGAACTTACTAGAACGGTCTTGTAGTTATGCATAGTGTTTATTTTCTTTATAAGACCATCATTTATTTGGTCGAATTTTCCTTTAAAATGTCCAAGATATTTATACTTTTTTTTATTTGTTACCTTCTGAAATCTGCTTCCGATCATGTGTATTAGTATATTGTTCACCATACACAAATCTATATCCTTTTTTCTGTTCCAAGTCTTAATGTAGATTATGTTGCTCATGTGCTTGTATGCAGCAAAGATGTCAACACCATACTTTTTTTGCTTGTTATCTTTTCAAATTTGCTTCCGATCATGTGTGTTAGTATATTGTTCACCATACCCAAATCTATATCCTTTTTCTGTTCCAAGTATTAATATAGAATATGTTGCTCATGTGTTTGTATGCAGCAAAGATGTCAACACCATACATTTTTTGCTTGTTATCCATACACAAGTCTATGCTCTTTTTTCTGTTCCAAGTATTAATATAGAATATGTTTCTCATGTGCTTGTATACAGCAAAGATGCTCACCATACTTTATTTGCTTCTCTTCTCAAATTTGCTTCCAATCATGTGTGTTAGTATATTGTTGACCATACCCAAATCTTTGTCCTTTTTTCTGTTCCAAGTATTAATATATGTTGCTCATGTGCTTGCCTGCAGCAAAGATGTCAACACTGTGGTGAAACTAGTTAATGATTCTGTGAACCACCAGTTATCGTCGTCACTTCGTCCTCATGATGCAATTTCTGGTCTTGGTCCTATTTATGAAGCTCATGAAAAAAATTGTCTTCCGAAAGTGCAGAACTGTGATAATCATATATCGAAACTTCTAGATACATGCAAGGAGAAGAAAAATAATATGAATTTATTAGTGCATGTGTCTATGCAAAAAGTAAAATCGACTCAGATTAGCATCAAAGAGCTGATGAATAAGCTTCATGCATTTGAAGAGGCAGTGGGACACCAGGAGAAGGAATTTGAGCATCTAAAATTTGTAAATGGAGTTGGTCACGCCTATAGGGCTTGCCTTGCTGAAGTAATAAGAAGAAAGTCATCGTCGAAGTTATACATGGGATTAGCTGGACAGCTGCAAGAAAGGCTTGCAACTGAGAGAGAGGCTGAGATTAGAAGAAGGGAAGGCTTTTATAAAGCATGGAGCAAGTACATACCCCATGATATATTAGCAACCATGGGTTTGCTTGATTCTCCCAATCAATGTGATGTTAATATGGTGACGCAATTTGATAAAAATTTACTGGAAATTGATGTTGCTGATGTGGATCGCTATGCTCCTCAAGCTGTTGTTGGCTTGCCTCTAAAAAGTGACAAGAAGAAATTACCAAAAAGCAACTTAGCTACATCAAGTGAGAGCTGTAACTTCAACAAATCTGAAGAAAGTGGTCTAGGTAACAATACCAAGGATGACTTTGATGGGCTTTTTGACGGTTGTGAATCTATAGATATTGCCGGCACTAGTAAGATTGAAGTTGAGAATGCTAGACTGAAAGCTGAATTAGCTTCGGCAATTGTCTTCATTTGTACTTTCAATGCAGGGATCGGGTTTGACCCATTTGAAAAATGTGAACCAGATGAAATGTTGAAGGACATAAAGGAAAAGACTGCTGAAGCTCTGCAGTCGAAAGATGAGTACGTAAAGCATCTTCAATCTATACTAAATAGGAAGCAGGAGCAGTGTTCCGCATATGAAAAACGCATTCAAGAGCTTGAACAGAGATTAGAGGATCAGTATGCACAGGGCCAAAAATTTTCAGTCAAAGATGCATCTGAATCAGTCCTTTCTGCCTTCAAAACTGATGGCTACGGGGAAAGTAACAATCCTTGCATGTCATCTGTTTCTATGGATGAGGGATCTTCTACATCTGCACTTGACCCTAAACTTGATCTCCTAACTGGAGAAACGGGCAAAACCGGAGATAGCGGAGATGAAAACATGACAGATATTTCAGGCATTCTGAATATGCAGTCATTGGATCCTGCCCGCAATTTTATGGATGCATCAATGCAGGAAACACCTCGAGATGAGCAACAAGTCAGTGATACTGAAAATAACCAAGTTGGTCACCAAAACAAAGACATACTTGAAGATGTAAATAGGGAAGTGAAAATGACTAGTGTAACACATAGTTCTGGTAGTGTCACCGGGGATGCTCTTGGGATATCACCTTCTGGAGTTGAACCTGAACTTAGCGTGGATTCAGAGACAAGGGGCAGTCTTGTATTCAACTTGCAAAATGCGCTGGCAGACAAATCAAATCAGTTCATTGAAACTGAAAATCAGTTGAAAGCTGCTATGAAGGAGATCAGCTCCCTTAGAAAAGAACTTGATGAATCTCAGGTAAAGTGGATAAGTAATTATAAGGCTTAATATTTGATGCTCCATTATGTACTAGGTACTGCGTGGTTGGAAAAATGCATCAGCTTGTTATTTTTTAGGGTACATTGCAGAAACTACCCCTCATTTATACCTTCACTTGGCACTTATTATTATCCTTCAACTATTTCATTAACACATAACACCCATTAGCTTCATGAGGGAGAGAGGGGTAATCTGCAATTTTCTTCCTCTCAAAATGTGAATTCAGGGATGCTAAATGCTACTGAAAGAGTCGAGGAGTGAGATTGTTTTGTTTTTTTGTTTTTTGGGGGCCCCGGGGGGGGGGGGGGCATTAGCTTCATGAGGGAGAGAGGGGTAATCTGCAATTTTCTTCCTCTCAACAATGTGAATTCAGGGATGCTAATGCTACTGAAAGAGTCGAGGAGTGAGATTGTTTTGTTTTTTTGTTTTTTGGGGCCCCGGGGGGGGGGGGGT